AGCTTTCTCTCATTATAGTTAGTATGGCGACACCCATTTTTTCATGTCGTCTGTGTATATATATCTTCCTACTGTATTTTCCACTCCATGCATCCAATGAAGTGGGTTTTAGCCCACGAAAGCTTATGCTCAAATAAATTTGTTAGTCTCTATAATAGCACTGTATCACACATCCTCACTATAATAATGTACAGTGTTTTGTATGCTAGTCAGGCAACCTCAGCCAATTGACATTTTCACACTGTATGCTTTTTCCCAAAAAGATCATTTTTCTTTTCTGATGATCCACAAATCAGGAAAGCATCCCATTTCAGGATGTAAATGCAAAGCACATACTTTAAATTAAGCATATGCTTAAGTTCTTCCCTGAATAGAGATGGACTTATGTAGGTGCTTTCCTGAATCAGGGTCATATACATTTTTGAAATGGTATTTTGATGTGTTTCCATGAGGTTCTGATAATTATACAATTGACAGTAAACCAAACATTGAACGTGAAAACATCCAGAACATGTCCTGAGAAAGCACTGAATGTTATTCTCAGAAGCAATCTCACCAGGAACTATCATGACCTCTTTGGCAACGAAAGCTAGTAATAACAGTGCAGTAAATAAATAAAAAGACAAGTTTACAATCTCTCTCTTTTGACTGGGAACACATTGTTCATTTGAGAATACTGTATATAAGATAATAAATGAACCAGTAATTACCCCAACCCCAAGAGGTCATTGTGGCCTGAGTTTTCCTGGAAAATAATGACGAGACAGAGTATTTAAGGTTAACACAATTGATTATTAGCTGCCAAGAAATGTCTGAGGAGGCAGGCACAACTGGTTTTATTTATTTAATGGTTAAAATGACTTGGACAAGTTCTCCTGTCGGTTACACCAATATAACTATTTGGGTGTTGCAGCAGTATCACTCAGAGGAGAGTTTGGCCCAGTGCAGGGATCTGGGAATGAATGTATACACGTATGGAATATTTACCAACCAAAATACAATATGGTCAAATGCATTTACATACTGTAACAGTTTACATTCAACATATTCTTACACTTATAATAGATTTGTAGAACCAAAGACTGACTCCTCTCAAACACGTTTTCCTTTGAAAATAAGATGCACTCCAATCTGCCTAAGTATTTCGTCCGTTGCCCCCGCCCAGTAATATATTTACCCCCATATGCAGAGTTCCACCTTTCCACTATATTGTGCAGGAGGTTTTAACTGGAGTCATGATTGTTTAAAGAAAAAAAATGTTCATGTGTAAAATGATGTTTGTACAACTATCCTCTCATAGCCTGATGTAAAAAAAAATAAAATAAAAAAAAATTATGGTATTTGGGGGAATGAATGCTCGTTCAAAAGTCTTCAGTTACCATAGTAGTGAACATACTATAATACCTAAAAAAGTAAGTTAGATTACTTAGGATTTCACTAGGTTGCTCTCTTCTGTGGCTGCGGAAATGTGTTTTAAAAATCACATTTCTGCATGGCTGAAATTAGGTTGCAGCAAAACCAGTTTAGAATATGGTTCTGCCAACCTTCTATGAGCTGGACCCAGACTGCTGCTAGACCAGTTTTGCTACAACTGCTGTTGAACCACGTTTAAAGATGGTGTCACAGAATCCTTTATGCACCACAGGAGCACCTCTCTCTGGCCATATCTAGGGATTAGCTCTGGCACCCCGACACCCTCTTCTCACAGTTCCTCAGCCTGTCACCTCACTCTCTGGCCCCCCACTTGCTCTTCAGGAGCTACCACACCTTGTCTTCATGGCTTAGTCTTCCGGCCAATTCACAATAGGCCTCCTCTTCCAGGGTCTTACCACAGTCTTCCTCACCATCCCAGGAAATCCTTAAGTCCTCTGCCCTGGCTGAGCCACTCCCTCAGTGACTAGAGCAAACAAACCCAGACAGTCGTCAAGTTCACTGCCCAGATTGTGCCACTCATTCAGTGGCTGGTAGGGAAACCGAGGCCCACCAGGGCCCTATCGCCAGCAGCTAAGGTCTATACTACCACAAACCTTCCTGCCACTCCCATGGAGTGCTTCCTACCCTGCCTATCACAGGCTCACACGATGGCTCTGGCATGATATCTTTGCTCATATGAAGGCTCAGCATTGTCTGTGGGAAAAGTCCAAACTAAAGGTTGCAGTTTATCAGCTATACTTGTTTTTTATTGCTATAGAAGTGTCCTACAACTCCAAGCTTACTACTCCCACAACACTGGAGCATTCTAATTGTGCCTTCATAGTAGACAAGTCATTTCTGAAATGTTGGAACCTTGATATTGATTGCCTTATGCTTTGCACTAACCTGAATATAGATAGGCTTAGAGGAGCAGCCATATGCATTATGATGGGGGGACTACTCCACACTCACCCTGCAGAGCTTAATACAGACCAGCTAGACCAATTAACCCATTAGGCAGCTGATTAAGGAGACTCAGCTGGGCAGGAATGTGCGTGGTCTATAAAGTCCAGGAGCTGAAAGAAGAAGGGGCTGTTGGGAAAAGGAAAGAGTGAGTGGAAACTGCAATTGCTCCTTGGGAAGAGGGAGGAGGCTTTAGGGAACTAGTAGGCCCAGAAAAGGGGAACTAGTGGCAGGAAGCAGCCCAGAGATAGAGCAATGAGGTCAGAGAGAGAAGGCCCAGACTGTTGAGCTGAGGGTCCTTGAGCTAGAACTCCGAGAGGTTCCCCTGCCAGCCACTGGGCAAATGGTACCGAGGTAGTGGGTGGGAAGACTAGGGCTGTTGAGGAGCTAAACCTCTCCTGCAAGGGGGGAATGCAGACAGTGACGTGGCCAGAGGGCTGAGCCACAGAAAGATCACTGTTGTTTCTGAGACTGCAAGAGGAGCCACAGGTGGATAGCAGTGACAGAGTGATGGTATGCAAATTGCAGACAGGGCATCAGCCTTGAGTAATCCTCGGAGTACTAGGAGGAGAAGCCAGTCCAACGGTGAGTGGTCATCCCGTGACCAGCATATTGCAATGTACAGGTCTGTTGCATCTTACACGTATTTAACATGCGCGATTTCAGCTTTACACAGTAGGCAAAAGAAATTAAAAAAAAAATAACAATTTTAATACTGTACCTGTAGTGTGGGTGATTTTGCCTGCCATTCAGCTCAATGTAATTTTGACTATACGTGGTTTTCGCTTTATGTGCTAACTGCGGAACGGAACCCCTGCATAAGATAAGACTCGCCTGTACTACAATGGCCCACACTGATCCATTCTCCCCTGCACTGGAAGGATGCCCTTTATACTGGACATGTAGCCCTTGAACTAGACTGTCTCCTGCACCAGGTTTCCTACATCAGAACCAGATTTAGATCTTAATCTTGAATGCCTAACCACAAAATCAAACTGCTCTGCCTCTTGCACTTACGAGCAAAAGTAAAGGAAAACAGATCTGAGGAAAATAATCAAAAGTGTTTTCAATCCTGCAGGTTCCTCTGGCATGGGTAGACCCCTGTAATTAAATATGTTTCAAATACAGTTGGAGAAAAGCTGGTTTATTACATGGCTTGACTTCCCTCCATACAAGGCTGGACAAATCATGTTCTAAGTTGGTTTTGTAGTAACTTCATTTCAACCACATTGAAATATGCTTTTAAAACAGGCAGCTTGCAGGACCAGGACCTAAATTAGTCATTCATCCTTCTGATGCTAGTTCCAGGAGGTGACTTTACGATGCAACACACCTGCTATTGCTGAAGCTTTGGCTCACCTGGAACATAATTTGATTTCTTATATGCTAAAAAAACCTTCCAAAATAAGGCTGCATGTTGAAAGGTATGAAGAGGGAAAACTTTCTGAGGTACAAGAGGATTTTGCTACAATTGAAAAATTACAAAGTATTGGATCTATGTTTTGTAGATGAGCCCCATATAAATAAGGGGAAGAGAAGACTATTAAAAAGATCTTAAAATCACACTAGCAAAAGCTTAAGTCACACTAAAAAGACATACTTCTACAGACAAAGTTTCACACTGTTAAAATTTCTTCATGTACCCAATTAAGGGGCAGTTCTGCTTTGTCCATGGAACTCTTACAAACACTTATGGTGTTCTGTGTCTGGTGCCCTTACTGGGTAGTAGCTGAACATCTTTAAAAGTCATAGTGTAGAATGTATTCATAGTTTGCGGTTTCAGATTCTCTTGAAAAAATAGACGTGTCTAATGTCTCTCCACAGTTTTCCAAGTATGTCCTTTTTCCATTTTCAGTGTGGCTATTTTTCAGTACACATGAGGAATCACATACCACAGTAGCTTAGAAAGCTATATAATCTTTTATCACTGTCCCTAGGGTCTTTTTCTCACAGATATACTTCATTCTTTTGCAAGTGAGAGCACTATTCATTGGCAGTACTGAGGTTGTGCTATCCGAGTGGAGAAGTTTAATTAAGGTTACCATTTCTGAATCATAGGGCCACACTGCACTCAGCACAAAGCCCTAAAAGTGAGCAGAAGGGAGAACATCCCTGATATTCCCAAGAGCTAACCAATGTAAATCAGAACTGCCTCAAAATGCCTATATTTATGCCAGCAACTAATGGCCCTCATAGGCCATTATGTTACTCAAGGACCATGGGAGCACTGCGGCATTCTACATATGCCAGCACCTCCTGGGCACACATGTCCTCTCTGCCAGAGAGATGGAGAGAGAGGGGGTTAGAGCTGGTTATGCCACCACCAAGGGATTCCCCAACACCAGGTAAAACCATTTGCAGGGTTAAGGCTTGCATGCCCCCTTTGTGGAGTATTGGGGGGATAGGACCTAACCCATCTTTTATTTGAGACACACGTGGTTCAACCAAGAAGGCAGCTGACACAGTTTATTACATGTTTGGAATTGTGAGGGGCTCTCAAGGCTCTGGAACACAATTATGAT